GGTAGGTGAAAAGAAGCCAAGTGGAGGGAATGCACCACCAAGTGGAAAGGTGGGGGAAGGAAAAAGCTAAGGGTGGGGGAGAGAGAAAGCAGGGTGGGGGAATTTAGGGGGAAGAAAAAGTCAGGGGTAAGAAGGGAAATCAGGGAGCAGAGAAGAAGGGGTATGTGAAGAGGGAAGGAGCTAATGGGAGAAGCAGGTGGCAGTGGGGGGTTGAGGGGTGAGAAGGGGGCAGCTAGAGGAGGAAGGGGAAGGAATGAATAGGGGTGAGAGACCCAGGGGCACAGGGGTGAGGGAAGGAGCAGGGCATAAAGAGAAAGGCAGCCACAGCAGCTCAGAGTCCTTCTGGGGGCCCAAGGAGGCTTCCTATTCCGGGTCCTTCACTGCTTGGTCCTAAAGCAGTTCTAGGAGCCAGGGTGAGGTCTCCCATCTGCTCGCAGAGCTGGAGCTGATGCTGGGAAAGGCCATGTGCCTGCTGGGCTCACACCTCTTGGACCGGAACCTGGACGCTCATCAGCAAACCTGTCCAGTTGGTTTGCAGTTGGAAAAGGAACACCATCTGCAGCCTCACACAGCTGGTGCCTCCAGAACGTGCCTGCTACAGCCGTGTCCTAGGGAAACCCCGGAGCAGAGGTGTCCCCAAGACCTCCACTCACCCCCAGCACACATCTCAGGAGAAAGCCCAACCCCGCTCTGTTCTCTTCTTGGGGACAGAGCCCAGGGGAGCCCAGGCCTCCAGCCAGCCCCACCTCTTTGACATTTGATGGAGCCTCTGCGGTCTCAGCGTTCTCCAGCCAAGCAATACCTCGGTGTTTATCTTACCCACAGTTACACTCTTCCTCACCCTCTGCCTGCCAGCCCCACCACCCCTGAATAGCCTCTGAACCTTAGATATTCTGGGGGTTTTTTTGCACCAGCTTTGACCTATCCTTTCTTGCTCCATTTGGACATCTAAGTCCCTTTCTGTCTTCTCCTAACATGGGGCTAACAGCTTACCCCAAACCCAGTACACCCACAGAGGCAATGGAAACAGAGTAGACACTGAACTTAGAAGTTTTGGAGGTTCGCTGGATGGAATCCAGTCATTGGAAGTGGAGGGTAAGAGATGCAGGATACATCTTCATCGGGTAGTGTAAGTTTGCTAGGGTTGCAAATCAAAGCGAAGTGCACATGTTGCTAGTCATTTGTGTGTCATTGAAAATTGCTAGTCATTGCATGTGGATTGTGGATGTGGATATGGATTATGGATGTGCATGTGCATTGCATGTGGATATCCCAGTCATTAGATGTGGATTGTGGATGGGGATTGCATGTGGATATCCCAGTCATCGGATGTGGCTGTGGATTGTGGCTGTGGATTGTGGATGTAGATTGTGGATGTGGATTTGTGGATGTGGATTGTGGCTGTGGATTGTGGCTGTGGATTGCATGTGGATATCTTAGTCATTGGATGTGGATATCCTAGTCACTGGATGTGGAAATTGCTAGACATGGGAAGTAGGGGTGAGAAATGGAGGGGATATCTTTTTTGGGTAATGTGTTAGTTTGCTGGGGTTACAAAATGAAGTACCACAGATTTGGTGGCTTACACAACAGAAATCTGAAAATTAAAGTCAATGGTTGAGAAATAAGTCTGCGCTTAATCTAACAGGCCAGCTCACAGGTCCCACAGCCCTCACTGGAGCTTATAGTAAAGGAAATGAGACCTAGAGGATCCAGGCTTGCTCCAAAGATCCAGCTATTCTGTGAGACTTGGGTAGCAAGGTATCACTTATCACTAGGGCACTACTCCAGAGAGAACCACTCCAACTGGAGGCACTGGGACCTACAGGCCAGCCATTGAGTGGAGATTCAGAGACTTGAAGGAGGAGGCCATGAGGGAAATGGTTTGAGAGCCAAAGGCCAGCAGAGCGAGGTGTACAGTGGGGATGGGGCAGGAGTGACCCCTGCCCTGGTGGAGGACTTTCATTTCAAGTTCTTTCCACTAGAAACTCCAGGGAAGCTCGTTACCCTAATGTTTAGCTGTCCTTCGGCCCCTCTGTCCTTAGTACCTCCCGATCACTAATCTGTTTTCTGTTTCTACAGATTTGCCTCTTCGGGGGACTTCCTCTAAATGGACCCATACAAAATGTCACATTTTATGGCTGACTTCTTTCACTCAGCATCATGTCTTCAAAGGTTCATCTGTGTTGTTGCATAAATCAGCACCTCATTCCCTTTTATGGTTGAACAATATCCCATTGCACAGAAACATCCTTAGCTTATCCATTCATCTGTTGATGGAATTTGGCTGTTGTAACATTGCTGTGAATAGTGCTGCTCTGAATATTCATGCACAGGTTTTTGCTTGAATACCCGTTTTCCGTTCTTTTGGGTACTCTACCGGTACCAGGGGTAGAATTGCTGAGTCATGTGGGGTTTGGATGCTGTTTGAGTTGTAAAACTTCCTTGAGGGTATTAAAAGATTTCTGCATCTCATGCTTTGGCTTTTCTGTGGACCTGCCAAGAACTCTGGCCTTTGAATATTAGTTGGTTCATGTGTTTGTTGGTTTTTTGGGAAGGGGATAATATTTTATAATTTTCCACCATGTAATGACAAAATCACTCTCTATCTAGAAACAAGATCTTGAGAACCTAGGATACCTTCTGACCTTTTTATGCTTCTTTTCCTACGACAACTATTTCAGTTACGTTAAAAAAACCATTGTGAAAAGTGCATAAAAGTTCTTCCAAATTTGTTTTGCTGTGGCCCTTGAAGATTATTACTTATGCAAGTACTGCTTTATGTGATAATTGTATAAAACCATTAAGTGAATTTTAGAGGCAGTTTAGTGATTATGTGCCTGGAGTCTGCAGCCAGGATACCTGGGTTCAAATCCTGGCTCTGCCACTTACTAGTTGTGAAATCTTGGGCAAGTTTCTTAACATAAGAAACAGCTCTGTGCCTCAGTTTCCCCATCTGTTAAGTGGAGCTAATAACAGCACCTTTGTAAGGATGCAGTGTCCTTAGAACTGTACCTGCCATGAGGTCAGCACTATATAAGCATATTTTGAACATGAATTCACAAATTGGTTTAAATAATTACCAACACTTTTAATCAACAACTAAATAATAGTACAAGTTCTTCTAAAGGGGGATCTTACTGATTTTAGTTTTGACAGTGATCCAGACTCACTAATCAGTATAGTGAGTAAATTAAACNTCTTACTGATTTTAGTTTTGACAGTGATCCAGACTCACTAATCAGTATAGAATAGTAAATTAAACAGACATTGTCCTCATGAAACTTCCAGTCCAGTGGTGGCACAGAAATGAAAAACAAGTTAACTAATTAATAAAATTAATTAACAACATAAGCAAAAGATAATTGAAAAAATACATTTCCTAATAAGTTCCCCAGTCAAATATAAGTAAATTTTGGTTCAATCACATTTAAAAATGAAAAAAAAAACCCTAACAATTTGCCAAAATTATAATTTATAATATGAAGTAGGTGAAGAGAATACAATAAAGAAAGAAATGCATATACAGTGTTTAGGGGAGTTCCTGGCCCATAAGAGGTGTGCAATAAAAGTTATCCATGATTATTTGTTATCCCAATAATTATAACTTACCCAGTTTACTCACCTGTAAAAAAAATCCATCATCTTAAATTAAAGTTTTGTGCCCTCTAGTGGGCACTTGAAGTCATAGCCATACAAACAACAGAAAAGTATTTCCCATGTTTCAGCTGCTGTTTAATGAGCTCCTGCTCTATGGAGCACGGTTCTAGAAAGGCCTGTTATACACAGATTCAGGGAAGAATGGAGAACAGAACCTCACAGGCTTTCACTGGACCTACCTACAGCTCTCTGACCTGTAAA